TTAAAATACTACTTTTAAAAGTTTGGCATTTGTTCTGTGTTGCCTACTTTAAGATAAGGTCATATAAGGTAATATTTTTATCATGTAATGTTAATACAAAAATTCAAGGAGAAAAAGCAACAGCAAAGTCAGTCTATTCCGCCTCACTCCATTATAAGGCTACAACTTCTCCCAAAGTATACCTTGTCCCTTACCATGAAAAGAAATGGCCTAAGGGCTATTACCTTCAATAATTCCTTCAATTCCTCCATGGTCTGCTTGTTAGCTACCTCATCATGGACTGTCTGACCACAATTCTTTACTACAGATTCCAAGACCTGCATGAAAAATACACAAAAGTTCTGAGATTTCACAGCAAACAGTCTGGATCTTCTCTAAAAAAAAATGCATCCTACATGGACCCAAATGAAGAAAACCTCCCTAGTCACCAGGGAGTGTGATTGCATTTATGTTTACCTCTAGTGCATAGAGAGCCACGTGAGGATTCTTGTCATTGACTTTCTTCTTTATTGCACTCACAGCATATTTAGCCCTGGGAAATCATAGGGAAAAAGAGAGAACACCAGCTCAGTCTAATGAGAGCTGCAAGGATCACCTAAGCCACCCAACATCTTTTCTCCATGAAACATAATATAATCACCTACAAAATGCAAACGCTTGATGAAAGAGGCTGTGTGCTAAAGCATAAGCCCTTAAGACCTATTATTTAAGTAATCTTAAAATAATGGCACACTTCATTAATCAAACTTATTTAATCTAAAAGCATTCCATATTCTGTACATCAGTAATTTTCCTATGTAAATTCAGAAACTGCTTTATGATGAAGAAAAATATTTTCTTTTTCTTACAAGCGTCAGTTTTAGCAGTTGTAGAAAATATTTGGAAACATCTCCAGTCCCTTCTTGTCTTCTTCTTTCTTTTCTATATATCCCTCCCTTGTGAATCACAAAGCAGAATACATAGAATTTCAACAAGGCATACACATATTGTATAAGTCTTATCTTGTATGAAGGATGATACAGCTTCTCTCTAGTTCCTGAGAACTAGAAACCCATGAAACCATTCTCCTGTACACCTTCAGTATAGGACATGTTATTTCTAGGATGTGAGATGTAATCTTTAGCTGTAAGAGTTATTTTGTTGATATGTTGCTGTACTTTAAAATCCCCTATAAACCAATGTGAGATGGTTTGTGTTATTGACTTACAACATTCCTTTCTGACTAAAGAAAAAGTGTAGTAGCTAATAAGACATCTTCCAGATACTAAGCCATCCAGGTCCTAGAAAAGGTTAACATATATGCCAGTTACAAACAGCCCAAAGACATCCATAAAAGGTAATAATAATAATGGATGATTTTACTTTTCCTCATAGACATAGGTTTAAACGTGGTTTATCAAATAAGTCACAATTCACTGGATTCTCACAACATATAATGGTTTCATAAATCTTGGTTTGCAAACCACAATTGCTAGATTCCGTAACATGCCAAGACAAGACCCCAAAACAATGGTATCATGACTTAGTGCATTATGCCACAGACTAAGAAAATACATGTTCTGACAAGGAGACATTTATAAATACCCTAAATGACTATGTCCTAGAATAATGGGCCAAAGAGCCAACCAGAGTAGAATCAACTATATGCTTAGTTCCAAATAGCAACCAAGTTCTGTTCTGGGATTTTCTAGGAATAATTAGGCAATTGATTAAAAATAAAAATTGCCAGCAAAATAATCTTTAAAATAAATCAGTTTTATAACTGCATTTCAAATGCTGCATAAAGTTTTAGTTCTATCTCAAAAAGAATATTGTACAGCTGTAAAAGATGCAGCAATGAGTAAAAAAAAAAAGGACACCCCAAAAGGGAAAAAACAACACTGCTGAATGCTTCTTAGTTTACAAAGCAGATAGAGTATGACATAATCATGCACGTAAGGGAAAATGTGGATAGGAGAAAATATCTTTTCTCTCACACAGTATTGGAATGCAGAGTTATCCACTGGATCTAAATGAGAAAACAATCTTATTCACACAACACACAATTAAACTATGGAATTCACTATCATTCATTGACTACTAATTCAAATGGTTTTAAAACGGGATTAGTAAGATACAAATTCGTGGAGGATAGGGCTATTAATGGCTATTCATGTTGATGGCTATATTCATAGGCATCTACGAGAGAGAGAGAGAGAGATGGGGAGAGCAGGCAAATGACAAAACTTGTGACACAAACCACATGACTTACATACTTGTGTACAACATTGGGATGAAAGTACAAAAGCCTAGGGTTTGTGCCATGACATCACAATGCACATTTTATGTCACCTCAGGTTGTACAGGATGCCTACAATTATAATCTATCTCCAAAATCTCCAAAATCAAAGGCAGCATATATTATATATCAGTTGCTAGGGAGCAATAATGAAGAAAGACTACTAACTTCAAATCCTGCTTATGAGCTTCCAGAATGCATCTGATTGGACAGTGCAACACAGAGAATGTATTAATCAGATCTATGGCCTGATCTGGAAGGATTTTTCTTAGTTTTATGTACTGGATAATAATCCTGTAATGACTAATATATATTAGTCATGCTAGTTGGAAGTGATGGGAGCTGAAGTCCATGATATCTGGAGGGTAGCAAGCAATCTACTGCATTTATTAATCCAGGGTTTTGCAACCTTTTTGAGTGATGTTAGCACTTAGCTTTTGAATAGCATCCTGAAACCCACATTCCAAAAAGTGAGCAGGGCCCAGGACAAAAACTAAAATTATAATTAAAATTAATGAAACTAATATTAACATTAACATTACAATAACATTGACATGATTGTTCCCTATGCATTTATTTTTCTCCTTGTGCTATATTAAAATGACAATTTATTAACAATCTAAAGGCTGCCAAGGATTTTTGGAGTTATACATAGCTCTGAGGTATCTCATTGTGCAGTCCTGTGCTAGTTGTTGGTTTATTTGAATGGCCTAAGAATGTTTATGGAACAACTAGTTCTTTAGAGACACAGTGTAGCCAATACCTAAAATGCTGGGTTGGGATATGGATAAACACAGGTTCAAACCCCTGTTCAGCAGCATGTTTCCTTCTACACCTGCTTTGCTTAACTGTCCACAAAGTTTAGTTGTAACAAGAAAAAAATGAGAAAAGCCAGACTACCTCTTTCATCAATAAAGTGCTTGACAAAGTGGGGAAATGAAAAGATGGTATAGAATTCAGGACTTACTGGGTATCTCCCTGACGAATCATATCACAGATCTGTAGAATAGATTCCCAGTCTGTCTCCAGCAGAAGCTGACTTGTAGCCTTATCTACAAGACATTGAAATAACAATTAGCTATCCAGGCACAAATTAAAATTTGTACTTTCTGTCAGATAACTGATGGACAAAGGGACTGTTTTCTGACAGGAATTACTGGAGATGAATGAGAGCATCAGAAAGTGAACAACACTTCTACAGTTATTTAACTGTATGCTATTACCAAGTGTTTATAAAGAGTTTCCCTCAGCAAAGTTGACCTCTTGGCAATGGAACCTGACCCTAGCCATGACATTTGCTTCTCCAACCATGCCATTTGTCAGTTGCCCACATATCTTCTACTTACTTAAATGACTTCATCTTTATCACTCCCAATAGGTAGAATTCTTTAATCAGGGCACTCCAGAATCTCCATCACCAAGTTTAGATTATAACCTCTTCAAGAGATGTAGCCTTTGTTACTATCTCTTTCTCTTCTTTCCAATTCTTCCTCCAAACTCCCTTCTGTTATAAAAACTTCGCTATCAAATCTTTTTCACATTCATCTAGAATAAATCCTAATTATGTGTAACTGCTTTTGTATGCAGTTAATCTTTGTGCATATCACCCTCTCACCTTTTTGCTTCTCCTTCCCTGTCATGCTATAACTTTCTTGAAGAGATCGGAGTATATTTTGGCATGGTATATTTTGGTATATCCTAACCCTCCAAATTCAAGTAGAGCATTATATTATAAATGGCAATGAAAAGCAAATCATTAATTGTCTTCCCTCCCATCACCCCAAAAACATCTGTTAATTTGTTGACAGTCCATAGCAGGTGATATAGATTTCATTTCCACTGATATTTGCTCTAATGCAACATGTTTGCCCTTGATTCAGCCAGTACTTGTTCTGTTATTTCCTGGTACACAGTTAGTCACCTTGCAGAACCTGATTTTAAGATAGTGATGAGGTCAGCAGCATTGTAGAATTACAATGCAGGAACTGAGATTGTTTTTATATATGTATGTATGTATGTATGTATCATTCCATACATTCAAAATGGATCAAACCAGTCAAAAGACACCCCACCCCCCATTTACACAAAGGAAAAGAGAGGAAATAATATTGCCATTCTGCAACTTTGGCATATGACACTAGGCAGTATCACAGTGTTAATCACCCCAGTCGACCTCTTTGTCGATGAAGTTCAACCTAGCAGTTTGTGGAGCGAGGACAATGTTCCTACGAATAAATACAGGCAAATCAATACAAGGAGCGGGAATGGATAGAAAAAAGGGCACAAAAGGAAAACGCTTCAAAAGCCTGATTGGTTTTCAGATGCAACGAAAGACCTCAGAAAAGGAAGACACGATTTACAGAGGGCTTTGGCACAAGCGCTGCAGAAAGAGATGTCGAAGGAAAGCAAGGAAACCCAGCCCCGTTCCTCGAGCGAGCATTAAAATGAAGGCCGAAGCTCTGGGATAGGATTAGGCCAAGGCTCCCTTCCCCCCGCCCCACAATACCTAAAAGGCGCTCGAAGGTGCCACCGCCTCGCCCCATTGTGCTCTCTTCTCAAGACCAGGCTGGACCGACCCACCACTGCTCTTCCGCCTCGAACTGTCTCTGCAATTTAGGCCCTGCTTCCGGCTTCCCGTCAGCGGAGAGGCGGGCTTTCCGACGGCAAGCCTTAGCGATTGGTTGAAGCGTGAACGAAGTAAACTGTCGCTCCGAACCAATGAATGGTTGCGAAGAACGTTGGCGACCGAACAGTCGGCCTTGGTTGCTATGGGAATGGCGGGAAGCTGTGCTTCTATGTACCTGCTTCTAGGGCCTTCGCGGGTGGGAAAGACCCTGCTGGTGAAGCGGCTGCAGAATATCCGAAGGTCCCGACGAGGGAGGGGAAGCTGGGGCCCGTGGGTCAAAGGCAGACGTAGTTGAGCGGTGTCTGGTGAGGAAGGGAAAAGGAAAGAAGCGAGGAGACGCTTCGGCCAAGGAGGTGGGTGCGTCTTGCCTCTCTGGCAGGGCGGAAATGCACAGACTGAAGCCCCAGGCTCTGGGTGGCCTCCAGAGATCTCCGAAAGTGGTTGCTAAACTGTGGTTTTAAATGGGATCGAAGGGGGCATTCATTAAATTTATGACGGTGCAGAAAACGTATTGGCTATATTTAATTTTAATGAAGTTTAAATGTAAAAGGAACGGCTCGGAATATGAGTTTTCTTCTATCCACGTCCATTACTTTTTGAAGTGCAGCATACAGCGCAATACTAAATAGTTAAATACACCTCTTGGCCCAGAAAAAATTATAATGGGTTTGATCTCTCCTGCAAGAGTCTTGACTGATCCTGGCATGTGGAGTTAGTTGCTCAGAGAGAGGGATGGAATTAAAAAGGGCCTGCTTGGGGTTAAAAAGGGCCTGCTTGGGATTTGGAAGATTGGTTTTTGACACAGAACCTTCAGTCCTTGCTCTATTGGGCAAGAGTGTTGATGGGTTCTTGTTCTTGAGCAGCCTTTCCTAGTCATAGCCTGCTGTCTTCCAGATAATCATCTTTGATAAATAATTCTGTAATTCCCAGCCAGCATGGGCAATGGAACACATTGTTGAAGACATCTGGGAGTATTGGTCTGGGGATGATTATTCTGGAATAACTATTTCAATCCTATTCTATGCATTGAATGTCATTCTTTCCTACTATCTTCCTTAATGGCCTTTTTGATACAGCTGAGCTCCAGAAATGGTGCCAAGGACCTTGGAGAGCCACCAGCAACTTTGCCAACGGTATGGCTTTTATTATCTTTGGTTCACTAGTTTTGGCCCAGTGAAAAGAATTGTTTGAGCACCATTGCTTGCATAGATCAAGGTTGATGGGTTTTTAGAACTGAAATGATTAGAAATGATTGGAGCTGTATATGAGGCACTGGTTCACTATATGAGTGTATGAGTTATTTTTCCCGCAGCGGACAGTAAAGATCATTCCTGGAGGAAGGCTTACAATATACCAGAAGGGTAGAAAGAATCCCAGGTAATGGCAAAGGATTTGCAGGCCACTGCTGCATTGTCTGTTGTCAGTGTTCTTGAGAACAGCATAAGGAAAATACTGAACAAGAGTGGTGTGCATGAGAGGATACTTTCGAGAAAGCACATTGCTGCCTCTCTCAAGTTTGCCAAACACAATTTGGATGATCCAGCAGACTATCGGAATAATGTTCTGTAGGCAGCTGAGACAAAGGTAGAACTTTTTGGCATTAATGAGAAATATTATGTTTTGAGAAAAACTGCATTCCAACAGAAGCATACACAACGGATGGAACTGCTTTGACCTTGCAGTAATTGAAGTAACCGTTAATTTTGAGCTGTATCAGCAAATTCAACAGGAGAACAGCAAGGTATCTGTCCATGAGCTGAAGCTTAAGTGAATGTGGATCGTGCAACAAAGCAGCAGTCCTAAATACATATAAATCTACAACAGAATGGCTGAAGCAGAAGAAATTGTGCATTTTGGAATAGCCAAATTAAAGTTTTAATGTTAACTCAGTTGAAATATTGTGGCATCACCTGAAGTTTGTGTAAGACAGCCCAATCATATCAATGAGTTGAAGCAGTTCTGTAAAGAGAGATAGGCCAAAGTACCTCCAAGCCAATGCACAGGATTGATTAACCAGCACAGAAAACATTTGGTTGAAGTTATTACTACTAAAGGAAGTACCATCAATTATTAAATTTTTACAAATTTTCCAACAAATATAGTGAATGTTGGCTTAGTGTGTTTAGTAGGCATGACACACTACACCATTTTGTGTGTTGTATTTTTAACCAGAATCTATCTACTAACAGAACTTAGGTGAAGCTCAAATCACATTGTGCATCATAGTATTACAGGATTACACATAGTTCTAAAGAATTCACAAACTTTTTTTTGTTGTTTTGCTGCTGTAGCTTTCATTTTATACTTGTCACTGTTGCAATGTAATTGTCAATCATCATATCCATGCATATTTGCAGACTTTCTTCTTTCAAAGCAGGTTTTCCTTGTGGAACCAAAGCCAGTCGGTGGCTCTGAGGATTAATTGTTCTCGGACAGACCTTGCTACGCTCTCTTTATTTGTTATGATTTTCCTTCCATTATACTTTGTAATTTGTGTTGATACAGTGTGCTTCCACCTGTGGCTTGTCATTCTTATATATTCCCAATAGTATCCACTATTGCTGAATTATTATCATGTTCCCCCCTAACTTGCCATTTTTCAACTTCCGCTTTTTCCAAAGTCTTGGAAAAGCCAAGTGCCTGAGGAAACATTAGTCATAGCTCAATGGCATGTATATGACATGGATATTTGTGGATATTTGAATCCCAAAAAACATACCACCGATGAAAGCAGAAGGTCTTCTGGCATTTTACTCAACTATGTGATATGTTGCACTGAAGATTGTGCTCAGGTTCCTCAGATTGCTTCCAATATTCCTGAGGATCCTGAAAACAACTTTATGATGCTGCATACCAGAGCTTTTTATGGGAAAATATTCAAGTTTTGTCCTTTCTCATTAGAATTGGGAGAATTGGAATACTATACCAGAGTAGGTGGCCTAGTTGACCGAGTAGAAGACAATATCTACAGTTCTATGCATACATTCTTGGGAATAAAACCTATTGTAGTCTATGGTATGTTATTCTAGTACATTCACTGTACTATGCAGTAGAAAATAATCTGCACATCTGTATATATGTTTGCATGATTGTCTTTTTGCAGGTAGGCACAAATCTTACTGATCTCTCAATAGGAAAGAAAATCACCATTCGAGAACTAGGAGGATGCATGGGTCCTATCTGGTCCAGTTACTATAGTGACTGCCATGCTGTCCTGGTGAGTGTTCATTAATATACTGTGTATAATTTAGTGGGTGCTATTTTTATGGTAAACTTGCAAGGTTATAACTGATTTAAGGCCTTGGCCTTTCTACTTCCTGTTATTAATTATATGAATAGCTATTCCATACCAGTTTTTCTACTTATACAGATGCAAAGGAATGAAAGATGAAGCTAAATGGTGAAAGCTTTTTTGAAAGGAAGAATTAGGTTGGATTGGAGGAATGCTGCTTAGAATTATTTTTGGTAGAGTAAGATCTTGGACTATTGTGTTGATGCTTATCCTGGAATGTTGGGGTTGGCAATAAGCTGCAGTGTTGTAAATTAGAGAGGATGGTATCTGGTGAAGTTAAGTAGGCAGATCAATGGCAGATGCTTGACAGAAAGAGAGAGGAAGTAGAGCAGATATTCATTGAGCTAGAATGTATACAGAGCTTCTTGGAGGCTGTGACTTTGGGAGTTTATTTAGCTGGCATAGTGGCAAATGTGGCAATGAATGGGTTTGTCAGCTGAGATGCGGTCCTTGTAAAACTCTTCTTGTCCACGATTTGATGAGTGTGTAGACCTAGTGTCTATTCCCAAAACCTGGTTGCATGAAGTCAGTGATATTGCTCTCTCAGAAGTCTGCCCTCTGGGTTAAAGTTCTTATCAACCTGGATGCCTGGGCCAGAGAATGGGAATGATGTTTATCTTTAAAGACACCTTACATGTGATCAGGGACTCTCACCTTCCCAGAGTCACCATGTCTTTTGAAGTTGGGTGACTTCAGCTTCCATGCTCTCAGGTCTGGTTTGAGTAGAGCTCATTTGTTCATGGCCTCCATGGCAACTGTGGGCTTATTCTAAGTAATCTCTGGCCTGACACATTTAGGTGGAAACAAGTTAAATCTTGCTTTCATCTTGGACCAGTTGTGTGGTAATCTGGATATGGAAGGCATTTCCATCAGCTTTTTGCCATGGTAAGATCACTCATTTCTCCAGATGACATTGCCACCTGGTACCTTTGTAGGGCAAACAGACTAAGTAGAATGGTCCACCTCAGGTACTGAATGAATCTGGATGTTTTCCAGTGGCACTTAGGGGTTTCCCCAGCAAATGTGTGGATAGTTCCATTGAGTGCCTGGTTAACCACTGGCAGCAGGTGGTGACCCAGAAGTTAGACATGATTGCTCCCTAGTTACCTCACTCTGTTAGCAAATCTCAGTTGGCTACTTGATACACCAAAGGCTCTGGAAAATTCAGTGGAAGAGGAGACACCTAGAGCACCAATGGGGGAAGCCAAAAATCTGATGCAGAACTGATATGAGCTCAAGTTTGAGCCTACTTCATGATGATAAGGGAGGTGAAGCATAACAACTTCTTTCTTACTGCATCAGAGGTCTGTTATCCAGTAGCCTTGTTAGGGTGGCCAATTCCCTTTGAGTGTTATGGCCTGATGAGTCAGGCTTTGAATTGGAGAGAATAAGTATTAACATGTTTTGCCCTTGCAACTCAGGAACCAGCAGGCTCTCAGATATATATGCAGATGAAACTCAGAAAGAACAGGACTTCTTGGAGCATGGGCCTGCAAGTCTGGAGCAGTCAGGTAATCAGCCACCTGGTACAGAAGCACAGCAGCAAGCTGAGTCACCTAATCTAGACCCAAGAAGGAAAAAAAAATTCCTCAGCCCTTGAACACATAGAAATACCAACTGAGTAGAACATAGACATTCAGTGAGAGTCCTCAAAAGAAAGAGGTTTGACTCAGGAAAATAAACATGCCTGAATCATGTTGTAAAAGAAGGGCTTGGGAATCAGATTTCTGTTGGCAAACAACTTTTCACTCTTAGACCTGATTTTCTGACTGCGTGCTGTTTCTGATGCCCTGACTGACCTTGGACTGGTACAAGAATATACTTAGCTCTGATTCCTGGAACTTGGATTTGTCTGCATGGAACCTAGGTTTCTAAAGCAACCTTGTTTGTTTTTCCTGAGTTTTCACATTCCTATACTGTGGTAAGCTTTATAGCTGCCATAAAGACCTCTGATCTAAGTCTGAAACTACTGCACTTGCTGGCATGGGACATTTAGGGAAAGGAAGGCAGATAGATCTGTATGTTCCTGTGACTGTTTAACACAGCATTTTGTGAAAGCTGCTCTGATTTATCAGAGTCTTGATTCTTTGTGGTCCATCTAGCCATGTTACTTGGAACTGGTTCTGGCCTTTGAACTTTAATGAAGTGGATAGGGTGCTCTCTTGGTTGTCCCTGGTCAATTGTGTGCTTCATCCCCGTCTCTCTTGGCTCCTTCGGGTGTCTGAAAGAATGACAACAGAGTGGATCTGGGAGGTGGTCAATGCTCCACTGAAGGGTTAACGCCTGCTGCCTTGAAAGAGGCTGTGGTGTGCCTCCTCAAGAGGCTGTCCTTGGACCCATTTGCATTTGATAACTACTGCTGTCTCTATTCTTTCTTTTGGGGGCATGGTTATTAAAAATGTGGTTGGTATTGCAGTTACAGGGTACTGTAGAGCAGATGTGTCAAACACGCGGGCTGCATGTGTCTGCAACACTCCCAAGCGTGGCCCAAACCAGATTAAGTTGCTCTAGAACATCTTGCCCCTGAAATTTGATCAGCACCCACTTCATTAGGCTTTCAGAAACTACTGAAAATAGAATTATTCAAGAAGGCTTTTGATTTGTTTCAATTTATTTATTGTTTCTATTTTCTGGTTGTTATGTTCTTCAATTGAGCAGTTTAATTTTTTAATTTAATTTTTTAATATTATTTAGTTTGAATTTATAACTGTGCCAATGGGTGCTTTATTACAGTTATGATAGTAACATGCTCAGAGTTTTTGGCCAAAAGTGGGCAAAAAAATTCAAATAAATAAATAATCAAATATTCTCACATTTCTAATAAAACACCATGGCTTAACATCTATAGCTGGTCTGCCTATGTTCTGAGGGTTTTTAAGCAATTCTAGATGTTCTGGGACACGTCAACTAGATTTATAGTCTCAACATATATTTAATATATAGATCTAAATATTTACTGTTTGGGGCTATTGTTGCTGAGCAAGTGTCCTACTCTTATTTCTTAGGCTAGAGTGTTTATTTATAAGATTTACATGGTCGCCCATCTCAAATAAGGCAATTCTGGGTGGCTAACACAATGAAAATATCAATATAATAACAAAATTGATTATGTACCATCAAGTCAGTGTCCACTCTTAGCAACCACGTAGGTAAGATTTTCTCCAGGGTGATCTGTCCCTAATCTGATCCTTCAGGTGTTTCAATGGTGCAATAACAAAAGACAGTAAATAAAAACACATCAGAAAGCAAAAATGAAAAATGGCCAAGGATAAACCAATAAAAAACAAATTTATACAAAGCATGAGCTCAGCTACCCCCCACCCCCATGCCTGAAAGAAAAGCCAGGTCTTAAGGGCTCTGCAGAAGCCAGCAGGTTTGGGGCTAATCTAATATGGGGAGGAATGGGGTTCCAAAGGACAGGCAGTCCTTCTTGTAGCACTACCAGATGACTCTCTTTAATCAATGGGACCTGGAGCATGTCCCTTCTGCCAGATCTGATGGGGCTGACAGAGACAATTGGAGAGAGGCATAGCTTGATAAGAAAAAGTCAGTAGAATCCTAAACCTGTATGTAATGTGTTGTATATATGTTAAGCCTATTTCTTGTACCTAGGTATGCATATATTATATTTATTATTCATATAGTCTTATACCCTATAGTCTGAGAGACTATAACATTTTGGGAAAATTTGGCTTCAATTACACAGGAAAAGATATATGCATGTTTTGTTTTCAGGTTGTGCTAAATTTTTATATATTGTACTTTTGACATATGGCCAGTAGCACAAATAGTGAAATAAACAAAAAAGCTTATACAGTACTCTAGGATATCATTAAGTATATGGATGGCTCCCTCTCTTTTGCAGTACATGATTGATGCTGCCAACCCTACCCAGATTTCCTCATCCTGTGTCCAGCTTCTGTCCCTCCTTTCTGCTGAACAGCTAACATCAGTTCCTGTCCTCCTCATTTTCAACAAAATGTAAGAAAATTAAGTTGAATTTCCACATGGAAGACTTACATGAATGGCTTTTGTCAGTTCAGCAGACAGACAGAAATGGGTATGTAACTATTTTTTCCCTCACTGTTCTGCTTCTAGTGACTTGCCATGCTACATGTCCCTGGTGGAGATGAAGTCGTTACTCCGAATCCAAGATATCATGTCTTGTGCCAAACAGGCTATCACTGTGGTCGAGATCAGTGCACGGGATGGCAGGGGCTTATCTGATGTAATTAAGTGGTTGCAATCCACCCTGCGGGATTAAAATTGGAGTGTGGAAATGCCAGGAAGCAGAACTGTTTACTGTAGGCAGTGGATCAACATTGCTATCACAATTTTTGATGTAGCATAGATATAAAATATGTTATTTAAATTATTCAGTGGATTGCCTCTTAACTGGCAAATTGGATTGCTGCTACCGTAGATGCATTGAAAAGGAACACATTGTAGCTTCTAACTGTAAGTGCAGTATGATATAGATTGTATCATTTTTCTCTAGTTATTTGTACAAATGAAATAATGGCAAGTAGAATATAGCTGTAACAGGGGCACCTATTAGGTTTTGTAGGTAACATGAAATTTAATTTCAGTCAATACGTTTCATATTATTTGCTGGTCCATGAAGCCAGATTTGATGGAAGTACACAGCAAACAAAATCCAATTCCATAACACACTAGAAATTCAGATTGCACAAGCCTGAGTACTTCATTCAAGAATTCGTGTGCATTGTCTCTATGTTTTAGTTGTCAGTAGTTTAACTAACTCTGACAACCAAAAATTCACAATCCTAACAACCATTAACTTGGACTTTAGCAGACAGCTTTTGCCAATGGTGCAATCTGTGCTGTTCCCTCAGCCAGAAATTCCATCTAGACCAATATACAGAGAGAACATTGACCTACTGTATTAAATACCATATCCAATATTTGCTGAACTGTATATTCTGTTAATTTTCTGTGAGATACATTAGAAATATGTTAACTCTGTGGTGTTTCCTTTACTTTGATTTGTTCAATCTCATATTCTAGGAATTTAAGTTTTTGGTGAGCTCATACCATCATGTGAACCACATTAGCTGAGTCATGTGGCATCACCAAAAACAAAATCTAGAATGGTTCAATAGGTAACAGTTGAATTACAAGCTGGGTATGCAATGTTGCAATTCTAAAGTTCTGCATGACTCACTAATTAATTGTCTCAACCAATTAAACATTGTAAAGTTTAAGATGTAACAAGATGAGAGCCTTATCAACGTTGAATGTATTCTGTTTAAATCTCAGTTCTTCCTTCTGTCACTCTTTCACTTTAAACTTTTATCCTCCCAGCTTTCCATTTTTATTCTCTTGTGGTATTAGTAGCCTTCATCAAACCCATTAGCCCATGTTATTTAAATGCATTTATTTACTTATTCCAATTCACAGACTCTTCAGAGTCTCTGTATGGCTTACAAGAAACCAAATATATACTAGCATTAAAAGTAGTAAGGAATATTTACAGAATGAACGCTGATATCCAGCCCAGTACACCTACTACTGGGCAAACACAAAGGTGGCTCAACTAGAGGGTACCTGCAGATGACATTCTCTTCCTGATCTCACAAAATGGGTAGATTCAACCCAGTACAGCTGAATCTCCCATCTCTTGACGTGCTGTGTTCCTCTATATTCACCTTCCATAAACACCCAGATTAATGGGAGCTTTAATTAATTGCACTGATTTCCTAATACCAAAAGTCTGTTGATTATGAACTCAGTGCATCTGAAAGCTATGAACTACTGTATCCTATTTTATGCTATCACTTTTTCTCGCTGGTGTTTTTATCACAATGCTCCAAATCAGGACACTTAAGTCGGTATCGGAAATATTTCAAAGTAAAAACTAATTACTGTGTTAATGATTAAGCAGTTCTTACAGCACCATTCTGTACACAGCTCCTCACTACTTTTATTGTATTGAAATTTACTAGTAACTTTGACTTAGTAATTTGTTATTTAGAAGATATTTAGTTTGCAGGCCAAAATAAATTATAGTCTGCCTGAGAAATTAGTTTCGGTTTGGAGAATAAGCAAAAAAATAGGGCTGGTAAGGGAAGGCCACTGCCCTCCAAGACTTAGAGCTGGCATTAGTCCTGTTACAGTGCTTCCAGAAGATTTTGATTCAAAAACATACTTCATAACTGATTAGTAAAGTAGAGTTTCCAATTGTATAAATTCAAGCAAGCAGAGACTATCCTTAATGTTCAACATGGATAGACTGGGGATATGACATGTGCAGAAATGGGGTTAGTATCTGCAGCTCCACTGCCAGTTTTAGTCTTAACATATTTGGGAGAACATTTTGTACAGCTGAGGTAAAGAACATGGGATTTTATGATGGAATAACATACATGCACCATTCAGTGGGACTCCTTTTCTTAATTTCCATAAGGCATTAGCTGGTAGAGCAGCTAGAAGTTTTCAGCGAGTTATGAGTACACATCTTAGGTTACAAAATTTTATTGAAAAAGAACATCCTTTGCCCTCACTATCACATGCACTCGTTCCCCTTTTCACTCACGTGGTTCTTGTGGCTTAGAGTTAGTCAGACAATTCTAAAAAGAAAGTTGCAGGTTTAATTTACTGTCTGGAACACAGAAATTGTGAAAAGTGCCCTATAAATGTACACCCCAGTTCCACAAAGAAAATAAACATGAGGTAGCAGAGATTTAAGATTTCCTTTACAGATTAGTGCTCACACTTGAAGTGCAAATACATTCGGAGGGCATGAGCTAAAATGCAGGCATGCACAACCAAGTTAGAGTAACTACACATTATGAGAACTTAACAAATGACAATTGTTCACCATCACTTAGCCAATTAATAATGCTGTAAAGGAATTAAAAGGGAATGTAATTTACTCTCTTAAGAGAGCTTTCCAAAAACAGTCATTTTTAATAGTATTAGGCCATGAGTTCCCTTGTAAGAAAGATTTCTTTCCAGCAACTTTGTACACTCTCCACATGGGATCATGGATCTCATAATCCTGGCAAAACTAAGTACAAGGACCACTGCACATCGTAAAAGATCAGTTTGAATACCCTGTAATAAAAATTCTCTGTAAAAGTCTTCAGGTAGTTTGGGAGCTCTTAGTCTGGTTCAGGGAAAGTTTCCATTTGCCTGTAGACCGACACTGGAATGGCCAGCAAACAGTAAGAATATAACTTCTCCAACTAAAAGTAGAAGATGTTCACATGCAGGAAGCCTGAAGGGAGACAACAGTGTCAGATGTCTTCAGCAGCATGAACATGTTCATCAGTCCTTTTCTGGAGGGTCCCATATCTATTTTCCCTTTCCTAAGAAGTCCTCCAGGGAAAGGTTCACCTGGTACATTTGCTGATGAAGATGCTAAGGAAAAACGGAGTTGTAATGTAGTAAGAAAATTAGCGATGCTCTTACACTCAATATAATGAACAATGCATTTCCTAATGACAACACATTTTTCAGTCCTTTATCTTGCTTTTTTATATTCCTCCCCGAGGTACCTATTTGCAAAATGCAGTCCATTCTTATCTTTGCTTGTAAATATAATTTCCGAAATATGCTTGAAAGAATTACTGTATAATGTTCTCTAGCATACCATGTGTTGAATAGAGGACCTAAAAACTTCTAGTATCCATGGGTAACCAAATATAATAGCAGCACAGGACTCTGTTATAATGTGTTTTTTCCCTTATCCCCCAGGCCCCCATCATTATTTCCCTGCCTGCCATACTTCTGATGAGCCTTTAAGTATTGAGCCTTAATGTAGAAAAAAATTATTAGGGAAAAGTTAGTCATAGCAAGCATGTTCATGTTGCTGCTTAAGTCCTCCTTTCGTAGAAAGTGGCAGCAGTTGTGGCAGCACACTATCCTAAGGGTAGTGGGATGGTCTTTCTCATTTTTGTGTGTGCATGGCAAAAACAAGAGATATGTGCCTTCCTCATTGTGAAGCCAGGATAGAAGTCTATTTGTGTCTGAGCCTGTAATTTTCTGATCAAAATTTGGTAATTTGCTATTGTTCATTGAAGGGCTTACGGAAACCTGTAGCTGCACTTAGTATTTTTGTCCACTGAAAGAAAAGGGAAAAAAAAAACCAGAAACAACTATTGCAGCATTCCAAAACTGAACTGCAAATCATGAGGCCAAAGCTGCGTGGATAGGCTCTCTGCTAGTTTTAGCCAAAAAAAAAAAAGAGTTTCAGCAAAGATTTTAGCCAGCTGCTTGGGTCCCCTCTTTGGCGTAACAGTGTCCTGTCACTTTTATGGAGCTTTCTGATTAGTTCCAAAGCCTTACCTCGTTTTCACCTTGTTGTACTTTCATTTTTCATATATAGTATGAAGTCTTTGAATGAGAAACTTCTTGTCTTCTCCTTCCTGGAACACAAGGGACATTTAAGATGAGCAGACTTTCTTAACAGAATGTGGGCATTATGAAAGCTGAAGCGAATGCAATGTAGGATTGCTAGGCTTTTTTTCTAATACTGTTGGGGTTGATTGCAAAAAGTTCATTTTACTTATGCTCTGTTGATTAGCAAAGTAGGTACGGACAGGAAAGCCATGTACAGGGCAGGCATGGGAGGTCCATTTTGTCTGTAGAGCTTTGTGCACAGACAATTTGCAGCCCCCTCCCCCCAACTACCTAGCTAGAACTAGTGGAAGTTGGGCCATGCAGGAAGACAAGCTCTTTTTCCTAAAAAAGTCACAAAGAAAAGCAGACTGAGTTGAAGGGTATAATCAAATTGGTGAATACTACCAACTTTGGCAATAACCATTTAGTTGCCCATTTTGGTTGAAAGTTTTTGAGGAAAATTGATAAATTAAACAATTAGTATTAATAATTAATTGTATAGTTTTGCTCTCCATTTTTCTCAGGACATATAAAATGTTGCAACAAAAAAATGAATATTTTTTGTTAGCTGCCATATAACAAAGTACTTCAGAAAACCAAACATACTTTTCTTTGGATCAATGGTTTTTACAAGTGTAGGAAACAGCACTGCCCAAAAATTAACACAGTAAAGTCTCTGAAAATATTTTAAATGAAAAAAAATCTTAATCACATTTAGTCTCCATTTTTTAGTCAGTGCAGTCAAGTAACTCCTAATAAATTATCCCTGTCTAAAATTGTCTTTTTAGGTAGAAATATTGAAAATGGATAGGGATGTGCAAAATAGTTTGTGCCAAGGGGTTGTGTCCAAATCAAAATGTGTTTACTCTGGAAATGGAACAAATTGGATCTGTTTTAGGTAGAAGTGTTTCAGTGGGGAGGGTAAGAATGGGGAAAAGCCAATGACACTGGTGACGGCTGATGGGACAGAAGGAAATGAAGGCTCTGGAAGATGATGTGTGGTTGTCTGGATGATGGTATAAGTTGTGCTGAGCATGCTTCTAAATCCAGATGTTTATATTTGAGTATTTCAAATTAATGCATACATAATCTCAAATTATGCAAAAAAATTAAAATTTGCTTTAGGGTACCTTCTATTTTTCTGATAGGGTTTTTTTGTTCTTTTTATTACTAATATTTCTTATTCGCTATATGTTTAAATTAAAATCATTTAAAAAAGAGAGCAACTCCCCTTCAGCACTCACATTGGCAATCTGCTCCTTCAGTAATGAAATGATTCTCCGCAGACCCTTCACCACTGCAATGGTGAAATAGATCACAGCACTGTAAAACACAAGGTTGTAGAATATGACACTTATGCTGACAAATTAAGCGACACGTACTCAGAAGAACTATATGTGCTTCAAAAAAGGTGAGAGAATTGCCAAGGGGAAATGGCTTTGCCCAGTATTTTCAAACAGAGAATAGGGAGGGTACTCCTTTATAAGAACAAGAGGAATCAATTGTCTAAGACCAGATAAGCCAGCACCCCTAAAACATGTCTTCCAGTGAGCATCCTGAGGCCTCACCCACTGTGGCTAGAGAGCATCAGAAAGAGCCTTGAAGGACAGGAGGAAGAGCCGCTACCAAGGCAATTATCAGACAAGCATAGCTTGAGCCCATTCCAAGGAACGAGTTTGAGTAAACTTCTCAGACAGGCCCCTCCCTAGTTCACACTAAGATAAAGTGAGGAAGCACATTCAGACTAGCAAGATTCTGTTACTGTGGTTGTTACCAAAAAAAGAAATTAGTCCTGAACTATATGGCATTGGTTTCTTATTCTAATCTATCTTATAGGGCTGACATTGTGATCTGATTATATAATAGTTACATTGCAAACAACAATTATTTGGCATCAGCAATTAAACAGAAAATAAACATTTTTTCCTAATTTTCTTTAAAAAAAACACCAAACTCTTCAACAAACAGAACATAAAAATCTAACTGGTAGGCTAAAGTAATAGCAAATTTCAAAATGTTAATGGTATAATATATCTTACATCTAATTAAACTAATATTTAAAAAACTCAACTAAATTTCAAGCATTTTACTTAGCTTTGCATGGGCTGTTCAACAAACAGGAGAGCTTCTAAATGTTAAAAAACTTAACTCATTCCTAATGTAATTATACTTGCAGTATTTTTTTCTGCAGAAATCACCTCATACTCATAATTTTCTATGTAACCATGCTGCTTTATCAGTCTCACAGTCCTTACTTCTTTTAATAAACTCAAAAATTGTATTTCATGTTGGATAGTTTAATTCTGAATCACACTGTGGATCAGGTATTGCTAACTTAACCTTTACCACAAATACAAATATGTAAATTAGAGAGGTGTATATAAAGTCATTTTATGCATTTATATTGTATTTATTAATTAATAAGTAAACATTTTAAACTGACAGTGAATACAGTTCTGTAACTCTTTACTATTACATAGAGTTTATCTTGTACCATGAGATTTATTGCGGTTTTTAAAAATATCAGCTATATTTTATATATCTTCCCATTTTACTTCTCCAAATTGTTAATAATTTTCTATTAAACACTTTCACTTCTTAACTTTTTAAGACTTCTTACACTGTTTGAAAGAAAGCAAATTAGCAATTTTCCAGGAGTCTTCTAGTTCATATAAAACCAAATCTACCATAAACTAAAATCTATGGCAAATTACTCCTGTTTGACTTATGTACCCAGCAGCAGAAACCATCAGCAACTTCTGAGTATATTCTGATGCTACAATAGGTTGAAAAATGGCATGCAATCAACCTTCATCCATATTATACAACTACTATATTGCATGGTCCATATTGTCTACCAAACCATTTTACGCATGGTAGCTAACAACTATCTGTGGTCTTCTAGGCTTACATAAATAATGTTGTCATTTCAACTTACATCAAAATTCCAGTGATGAACAACAGGAAGTATGAAGTTTGAAACAGGTTCTGATGGATCCAGGTAAACCAAGTGGTATTTGGACTAGATTCTTCCAGCTTTAGTACCCATGCCTTCCAAGAATCATAGATGGTATCAAAAGTTTGAAAAGGTCCACACATTTCTGACGGTTTTATTCTGTATGGAAAAAGAGCTGTTGAGTATCAAAATGTCAAGCAAAAGGAAATGTAACTCATGTAACTACCACATCTAATTCTTCATTTTACAGTCTATATATAATCTGTATTACTATAAAATCAGTATTTTCAGTATTAATTTAAACACAATTTATAGCATAAACATATGAAAAGCAAATTCCCCTATTATTTGACATACAGCCCTTATTTATTTTAACAGTTTATAAAAGATGCTGCATATGTGACTATATGTGAATTGGATTCCCAAGAAAATAAAACAGACTTAATTAGGGCAACCCAATAATGGAAAGAGCAATTTGCAGTATGGCCTATAAACGAGTTGGGACAAGCAAAGCTTATGATACATTTTTCAAGGGAAAAATAAGTGCTTTGTTAAAATCACATCACACTAAAAGTTGTAATGACAGAATGGTCACAGGCTCGCTTTATCAGAAATGCAGTCCAGATTTTCCTGACCTGACAACAGGCTACATCAAAATGTTTCCACTGCAAGTGCCAGTGGACTACCACTGGTAGAAGACTGGCTTCTTAGAAAGAGGAAAGGAAGACTTATTTTGGTGACATGGTAACTTTTATGTGGGGTGGAGACACAAGTTTTTAAATACAATGAGAGAGAGAGCCCCCCCCCCCAAAAAACATCAAAAGCTGGATCTTCTTTTGTATCAGAATGGATAACAAAATGGAGATTACAGAAATGTGGAAGAGGAGGAAGATGTGATTGTCTGGTCTGAAATATTTCACACCTGGAATGTAACAGCAAGAGGTTATGTTTGCACTGAAAATCTACTCACGCCCAGATGATGTAGGAGAGGAATATGGCGGCACCCAGGAATGAAGGGAAGCACAACAAAGAGATGAAGATGGTGCTCATGTGAGATGCACGCCAGGGTTTACGGGGACATTGACAATTTCTCATCAAGCTGACCTAAGAAGGATTCATAGGGAAATTCATAGGATATTTACTTATTCCTAACAGCAGTAGTTTCTGAGTAAGAAGTACATATGTGTGTATGTTGAAAAAGGTGGACTACAGACAGTGGATACTGCTCCTCTCCTTTAAGGGTAACATACACCTAAACTCTGCAAAGGAATAAACAACGCAGGGTGATTTTGAGGGGGAAATTAATGGTCAAACATTTCTCCTCTCCCAAATGTAACCTCCCAAGGCTTTTTTAAAAAAAATCATTTTACAAAGACAGCTAATTTACATCTCAGGATAACATGCATTTGATTCTCTGCTGCTTCTGAATGAGTAGAGTATGAAGTAAGCTTCTTCCTGTTGGCCCAGAACTCCTGACGGATTTCCCTTTCTGTAAACTGTCTTCTGGTCAATGCAGCCACTCCCATTCAGCATGACTTGCTAACTCTTCCATCCTGAGCAGGGGCCCATAATATTGTATCCATTTCCATAATCCTGTCCTTTGTCCATGCATGCTGCCAGGAGCAATGGAACATGCATTAGAACCACCAGGAGATGAGTAGCTAAATTACCTTTTTAACATAGAACAAGAGCAGCAATTTGAGGATTTGGACCACAGGAAGAAGTGGGGCAAAGAAGACCCCCAGCCTAGGAAAAATTTAAAAAGATGAAGAGAAATGTTATATTGCTTAGCTGTAATTTCCTCAAGACACAAGGTGCTTGCACAATTCTGCACCTCACCCTGTTTGCTTATGTAACCAAAATTTTTGATTTACTTTAGAGATGGAGATAGGTGGACTACAGAGGCCTGTGATAAGGAACTGTAGTGAATACCAAGGTTCTACCTCACATACATGTCTCCATTATGTTAATCCAATGTCATTTTAAAAAATTAAAATACATAAATGTGTTGGAAACTATTTTGAAAACCTTGGAGGAGGCAGGGTACAATTATTTTAAACAACAAATGCACACAAATGTTCCAAAGAGCAACATCCTTTGAAACTGGCAGTTTAATTTTTTTTTTGTATAAGGAACTGAGCAGAAAGCAACAAATAGAAGGAAAAGAAAAGTTCTCACCAGGTTAGGGTTTGTCCATAAATCAAATCTAGAACATTTCTAGCAATGTCAAATTCAGGTCTCCGTTTACTTTGTAACTTCTTCTCCAATATGATCCTGTACAGAAGAGAGAAAAGGCCTAGCTTAAAAACTCAACATTTTATTTTTGTGTTGCTATAACTAATAAATAATAATGTACAAACATTATACATTTTTATTCAAATTATCAAGCAAATTATCTCATCTCTGGAATACCTGTCTACCAAGTAGCAAGATATGTTTTTCAGAGCCCCAAAGTTCCTGCTTTAAGAGTTGACCCATTATGTTGGTATTTATCTGGAGCAGAATAATCATGACTCAATCCTAATGAAGCTTACTCTGAAACAAGTCCAATGGATGATAATTGGAGTTATATTTAGGGTTAGTCCTCATTTAGCAACTGCCTTGGACAACCATTGCAATGCTGCTGAAAAAGTAACTTCGTGACCTTTGCGAC